CAATTTAAAATCTTTACTTTGAAGCAAGATTCAAGACCAACTTCTGAGTAATTCACATCTTTGAAAGTGCTTGTGTCTGCATCATTGTGTATGCAAATCAGGCCTCAGTAATGCTAAGTATCAACATGAAGTTACACACTCCATTCGTTTCTTCACTGGTTTTGAAATTCTGGCAGCAGATACTCAATGTCACAGTGAATGTTATGACACCGTATCTGACTTTCTATAAGACAGTAAATAAAAACAGTAAAGAACACAGTCAATTGTTTACCCAGTTCAGTGTGAAACAACACCTACTCTGGGGGCTACCAAGCCAGGGAGGAAATCCACTATAAGAGATATTAATTCAGGAATAAACCAACCAGTTTATCTCCTTCACTTAAGACCTACCCAATGCAACTTCAATCTAAGTTCAACTTAAACTTGAGTTCCTACTCACTCCCCCTCAATCACAGCAGTGATACTTAAACAATTGACTAATGAAATAATGAAGACACTCTTCAGAACATACACTTGATTATGCTTCACAGCTTTTAATCAAGTAACACAAACACTCGTGCTTCACAGCTTTGAGTGATACATAAACCTATCTTGACTTTGCTTCAAAGCTTTAGTCAAGAGACACAAACACTCTTGCTTCAAAGCTTTGAGTGATACAAAAACCCTTACAATCAAAACCTATTCCAAGTCACTTATCACAATGATACTTGCTTGGATTACAACAGTTAAAACTATACAGCTCCTAATTGATCTTCTGTCTAAGAGAGTTAATTTCCAATCAACTTTCCTGTTGAATATATATGCAACTGTTTCTTCAGTTAGGGCTTCCACGAAAAGCTAGGGTTAATTAGGGTTAACCTCAAGACTTGGTCACAAGACTTTATCAACCAGATTAGGGTTGAGCTAGGTTAACCTAAAGTCCACGTGAGATTCTGTTCTGGAAGGAATGAACCAACTTCCTGAAAAATCTCAGAATTAACCAAACTGCATAACTGTTAGATCAGTACAGGAGGTCTTAACATTTGTTATGACATCAGAATTCCTATTTACTGATTTTGGTAGAAAGAGATAAATGTGATCATTGCTAAATGCTCAGATACACACTCATAAACAACAGCTATTGTATGTCATACTTTTTCTGCATAAAGTACCTAATAATCCAGAATGTTATGACATCAGTCATGACATTCACACACCTGGTTTTACCAAAAATACATGTCAATAACTAAACACTTACAAACTCCCCCTTTGGCAAATTTTTGGCTAAAACCCCTAAGCAATCAGAGAATAGAGAGTAGCAGAATGAATATGTCTGCAGAAAAATATAATGTCTACCAAGTAATTAACACAAAATATCTCCCCCTCTTTAGCCACAAATAGGCCAAAGATACATGTACTTATATGTTATACCGTTATCCAAAATGAGTAATAAAAACAAAGAAAATCTGAAATCACTTGCATCAACAGGAACCAGCATCAAGCTTGTCAACTCCACCAAACTTTAAGCACTGTCATCTTCAGAGGAGGCACTTTCTTCAGCATTGAGCTGATCTTCAGCAGCATCCTCTTCCCTTCTTTGTCCTTCAGTCTCCTCCTGTTCTAATCTGACAATTAGGTTCTCAAGAGTCTTTTTCCTTGTCTCCAGCTCTTTGCAGGTTTCCTTCAGCACAGCTATAACATCAGATGTCTTGGACTGAGTTTTTACAGTTGATCTCTCAGCTGATGTCATGACAATGTCAGGAACATGAGATCTCTGGAATAGCTTGTAGTGTAACCCAAGAGCAGGAGCTCTTTTGCAGGCAATATCTCTTTCCACCAGGATGTCAGGGTACTGAGCAAGGAAAATTCCACATAGGAGGGAGGGAAAGGCAATAGGGCCTTTAACAGCATAGCTTCCAGCATGTTTTTAAAGTTTGATCAAATATATACCTGCCATAGTCAAATTCAGTCATGGTTCCAACAGCATAAATGAATCTCCCCAATCCTGTAGAGATGGTTGATTTATGGTTGGTAGGGACCCAGTTGGCTGCACCAATCTTGTGCAGGATGGCAAATTTTATGCTTAGCTTGCTAGCATTCAGCTTGCCTTTTAAGGGCCAGCACTTGACTTGTCTTGTTGTGATGGTTTGGCATACTTCATTGTCAGTAACTTCTAGTTCAGGGCAAGCCTCATTTGATCTTCCAAGAAATTTGTTAATTTCAGAGGGAGAGAAAGTAACTTTTCTTCCTCTCACATAGATACATTCAAAGTCAGCTGACCTTCCATCAGCACATTCATCAGACAGATTCACTATGAATTCCTTGACAAGATTTGCATAGCATTTGGTAAACTTTTCCACAGTCTTCATTAGTCCAGCAGCTTTGATTAGGTCCATGATTTCCTTACAATCCATGGCACCATTGTTTAGTTCTCTTTCCAAGGCTATTCTCTTCAAGCAAACATACTTCCATCTGTTGGCATTTTCAGGGTGGTGAAATGAAATGTTGTCAGTGGGGACTTCAGGAACTCTAGCCATTTTGCTGGAAGGGAGTTTCCTTCTGAGAGGAATGTCTTCAGCATCAATTTCAAATTTTGATTCCTCATCAGAATCAGAAAGTTCAGGCTCTTTCCTCTTCTTTGCTATTGGTTGTCTCACAGGCTTTGAGAGACTCCCAGCATGTACTCGGGCTTTCACCTTCCCTTTGGACAGTCCAGTCTTCACAGTTTCCACACCAGTCTTGCCTTCAGACCTGGTTTTCTTATCAGCAGGTTTCTCTTTGGTCAGACATTTTGCAGCATCCTGATTACCCTTTCTGTTCATCATTCTCCTAGCTATGCTAGGGTTGATATTTGCAATTAGGTCATTGTCTGAGTATTCCTCATCCACATCAATAACAGGTGGTTCAACATTCTTCTCTGAAGGGTTCTGAATATCATCAAGGTTTTCAGATGATTTCTGAATGTTGTCATTTGGAGTCTCAACATTCTCAGAGACATCTGGATTTACTTCAACATTTGGGCTTGCTGATTCTTGATTTAATGGAACAGAAATCCCAGGTACAAAGTGGTTCTCACTCAAAATTCTTGTAACAAGCCTAGCTATTGCTTGATGAACATAAGTTGAGCCTTCCCTATTTGGTACAGAAGATGAAGGTTGCGAGGGATTACCGGATGAAGTAGCTTGAGACCTTCATGCATGCCTTGTTCTCAGCTTTTTGACCTTGGAGGGGTTAGTTGCCATTTCTCTAAGAGGAGTAATCTCCAGGACTTCAGAATCCATGCATGATGTGATTGCCCGAGAATCTCGATCAGAGGATGAGGATGAAACAGTCGTCTTGGATGAGGATGATGTTTGAGACATTTTGATAGTCTTAGAAAACCAGTAGCAACTAGAGAGAAAACTTTGATTGAGAGAATGGGATTTGTTGCAGAGTCGAGAGAGGAAGGAGGCAAATGAGTGTCTATTCAACTTCTTAATAATTTTGAAAGAAATGGGAAAACATATGATTAACCCAATCAAAATAGACTT